ATATTTCTTTTCCTTTTTAATTTCATTTCCTACTAATATAACTTATCATTATTGGCGTCGCCAGAAAAACTTCCAAGGATGGGGATCGAAATCATTGTTCAGGGCAAAATACTCAAAATAGTCTGTGTAATTCAGAAATAATGTGTGCAAGATTTTTTATCAAGTTCAGATGGCTATAAATAGAAATTTCGTGTTTTCTGTATAGGGTATATACGTAGACGATTGCCTAGTTTCAAATATCTTCATTCTTACGAATTCACACTGCTATTACTGATATAAGGGTTATATTGATATATACAGTGTGTAGAATGAAAGAAATCCTTGATTCAAATTTCATGTTCTCTAATTCAGACCTGCTTGCTGAAATACAAATTTCGATCATAATTGCACTCATAAAAAAAACAATTTTTTCGAAGTGAGAACTTCTAGGCGCGTTGAGCACTTTTTTGGGTGGAGAAAAACATTGGATTTCGCGTCATCGTCACGACCCGTTCCGTGTCCCGTTATCGCGAGGTCAATGAATAGCAATAAATTTGAAGGGTGCAGTATCGCATCTCATCTTATATTATGTAGTATTTTGTAATTATGATTAGATTCTATTCTAAATTGGTATAAGGAGGTTTTCGGGGTCGGAGATTATGATTCTTTCGTGAAAATTAGGATATTGAAGATGGCTGACGAGTTTTATTTATAATTATGATCCCATTCTATTCAAAATTGGTGTCTGGGGGTTCTCGGCGTCGGAGATTATGATTCTTTCATCATGGCCCCACCAATATGGCGCACGAGTTTCGTAATTATGATTCTATGCCATTTGAAATTTGTATCTGGGGTTTTTTGGGGTCGGAGATTATGAATCCCGAAATGAAAAAATTCAAGATGACGGATTCAATATGGCGGACGAGTTATGTGATGATGATATTATCCTATTCAAAATTTACATATAAGGGTGTTTGGGGTCGGAGATTATGATTCTATCGTCAAAATTGGGAAATTCAGGATTGCAGATCCATTAAAGCGGACAAGTTTTCTAATTTTATTATCCGATTCTATTCAAAATTTTTACTGGTGTTTCAGGGGTCGGAGATTTTGAATCATTTGTCAAAATTAGGAGATTCAAGCGAACACCATCTCAAAAATTTTTGTTAGTCTATCTTAGACAGCGAATGTTTTTAGGTAATAAAGTTTGTCGAGTTGATAAAAATTCCGTTTAGTGTATAGTGTGAGTGTGATTATATCGTACCAAAGTTTTCAGGATTCCCTGGTTTCGGTCTTCAACATAACGGTGAGAAATTGATTTGCCATCATATGCTTTCTATATCTCACAATCCATTTTGTTTTAATGGTCAACTTTTTTTAAATCATTTAAAAATCGAATTATAATGAAAAAAATATAAGAAAATTATGTTCATGCTGATATAAAACTCACAAAGTTATTGTATGAGGAATTTTAAAATGAAATATTTTTCTTGAACAACCTGTTTCTCCAAAACTAACAACATTTTCTATGAGAGATGTGAGGCTGCATCTCGATATTCTGATGTTTACTATTTCTAGCTCACACATTGACCATTTTCATGCTGATTTAAAACTTACAAAGTTATTGTATGAGGAATTTCAAAATAAAATATTTTCCTTGTACACCCTGTTTCTCCAAAACTAACAGCATTTTCTATGTGAGATGTGAGATGTGAGGCTTAATCTTGATATTCTGATGTTTACTATTTCTAGCTCACACATTGACCATTTCGAATGAATAACCCTGTATATATTTCAGAGAAAATTTTAATATCACGGAATTCATTGAATTTCAAAAATCTTCCCCAAAGAAGATGTAAGTGGAATATGAAGTATCTACCTACGATAATTCTCTAAAACATGAACTGGATGTTCGATAACGTCTCCAAATGTCTCGAAAAAAAAAAGCGGCTGCTATATTTTCAAATATTTCGTATGTGGCTGACTTTCCTGTTGCCTCGCTTTTCTGCCCATTCTTATGGATTTTTGCGACATATCATTTGCAGCAGCTTGCAACACTGGCTTTTCAATTATTGATTATATGCCGGTTAGTTTGAAGTTCATCTGAAGTTCACGCAATTCAAAGTGGCACGTGGCGGACTGCGGAAAGACGGGGAATCACCGCGCGACCAATGAATATCCCCCCGGTTCGCCGCGGGAGGGAGAGAGACATATAACGATTTCTCGCTCAGTTTTGTTTTGTTGCCGTGGCGGTATTATCCTTTGTGAATATCGCCATATCAATGGATCCAAAATCTGAGAACTGTACTCTGAGAGTTCTGAGACGAATGTTTTTGCATGAGTTTTAGAGTGAAATAACCTGAACTTTTGACACAGATTAACAAAGCTTTTTGAAGTTTGTTCCACAACTGTGCCATTCCTGTTATTTCCATCTATATGCTGACATAATTATCGATCTCATGGATAGAATTGAAGAAATTCTGCTGAATTTGTATGTTCAAATTTTCAGGTCTACTTATATAATTATAATTCAGTGACAAATTCTAGGCCGTTTCAAACTACTCTATTTATTTTCTAGTTCTTTTTAGTTCGGTTCTCTATACCTCTTCATTTTTTCAAACTACTCTTTATTTTCTACTCACTTCTTTTTAGTATGGCTATCTATAAAAAGGTGTTTCATTAGTTTTTCCAACTAATATTTATTACAATAGCTGATACCCGGCAAACGTTGTTCTGCTATATACAATTATTTCCAGAAAATATTTTTTTAGTTAAATATTTATCAACATACTTATATTCATTTGTTTTCTAATTCTTCTCCGACCCCGAAAACACCCAGATACAAATTTTGAATAGAATCGGATCATAACTACAAAACTCAGTTGCCATCCTCCATCTTCAATTTCCTTATTTTGATGAACAATCATAATCTCCCATCCCAAAATCCCCCATATACAAATTTGGAATGGAATCGGATTAAGTTACAAAACTCGTCAGCCATATTGAATCTGCCATCTTGGATTTCCAAATTTTGATAAAAGGATCATTATTTTCGACTCCGAAAACCCCCCGATACCAATTTTACATAGAATCTGATCATAATAATTAAAAAACTCTTCCACCATATTGCATCCACCATTTTGAATTTCCCCATTTTGACAAATGATTCATAATTATCTACGACCTCTAAAACCTCCAGATACCAATTTTGAATAGAATCTGACCATAATTACAAAACTCGTCCGCCATAATTTCCTAATTTTGATAAAAAATCATAATCCCTGACCTCGAAAACCACCAGATACCAATTTTGAATGATATCTGACCAATCTGTTCTGTTCAGCACCAAAACATACGCTGATGCTCTTAGATTCTATCCAGAGAAGAGCCATTCGCCTGGTGGGTGACGCCACACTCACTCACTCTTTGACATCATTGGAACACCGTAGAAAGGTCGGCGACCTTTCACTTTTCTATCGATACTTCCACGGGAAATGGCTATCATCCCTCCACTAGCAATACCAGACGAAGTAGACAAGCCCAGTCAGCACATCCTTTCGTTGTCAACCTCGAAAGATGTCGAACAGCACTTTATCAAAACTCCTTCATCCATAGAACGGCTAGGCTCTGGAATTCAGTGCCCGAGGAAGTATTCCCAACAACATATAATCTCCAGAAGTTCAAAAAAAGACTCCAATACCTACCTCCTGTCCCTATCCTTCCTAGGAACGCACGATGTTCTTTGAACATTATAGGGATTTCCTTTCGTGCGCTCCAAGCGATGAAAAAAATAATTACAAAACTCGTCCGCCATATTGGATCCACCATTTTGAATTTCCTTATTTCGATGAAGAAATCATAATCTCCGACCTCGAAAACCCCCAGATACCAATTTTGGATGGAATCTGACCATAATTACAAAGCTCGTCCGCCATATTGGATCCGCCATCTTGAATTTCCAAAATTTGACGAAATATTCATAATCTCCGACCCCGAAAACCCTTGAGTACCAATTTTGAATGAAATCGGATAACTATACTCGGTCGCCATATTGGATCCGCCATTTTGTATTTTCTATTTAAAAAATAGATTACGACCGATTCTCATACCTACCGAATAAGCACAAAAAATTTCATACGAATCGGTCGAGCCGTTTCGGAGGAGTTCGACCACTATGACCGTGACAGGAGAATTTTATATATTAGATTTGTTCGTCTTACAAACACTCGGAGAACCTCCCCTAGAAATATGCCCAGATAATTGAATAATACCCTCTGTATTATCACGTCGCCTAGATTTCATAATATGTCCGAGTAATATGTATAACATTGGCAACGGTGTAAACGGGTTTGAATTCATCATCTCTCCTAAGCGCCATCTGCTTGCAATACAATGCACCATTCCTCTCTGCCGCAGTCTGTCATTTCGAACACTGCCATCTATCAGGTAGTGCCTGAACTACCACATCCTAGTTTCCTGCATTACATTCTTTCAAGAAATGGAGTTTACCGAGATCAGCTGGGATGAATGGATATTTTGTTGACAGAATAATCGTTTTTGTTGCTTCCTGTCCGAATGGAAACATTTCAAGAGCTGATATTCCAGTGACACCTTGCCGAATTCCCAACAATTGTACTGAGATCGAAAATATTTCAATTTGAGACAAAAAAATTTCAATGTTTACGTTTTTCAAAAATCTGTATCTTCTATAAATAAATGAGTTTCGACTCCGTATGATAACCAGGCCCTAGTCCCAACTTTCTTCTTTACGATGATTTAATCAGTTTTTCAATTGAATCATTCATAAGCCCATATAGCAACATCTAGTGAAGGCCTGCATGTCGATTTGGTTGAATCTCTCCTCTTAAATTTTTATATTGGTGGTGCAGGAACCCACCCTTACATATTAAGACTAAAACACACATTGAATTCTATAATTAAAAGTAACATTATCACAGAGATACTAAATTTTCCTAATTAATATTGGCACATGATATAATAAGATATATTTTCATGGCAAATCACAAAAAATCTGTTGCAAGGAAGGGATGTCCCCTTATTTCACTTATTGTTGCAGCTAATCTTCGGTTTTGTTCCAGTACTACAGATGCTGTAACTAAACCAATGTGGAGACAAAACAGTTCATAACACCTTACTTTAGACGGCTGCATTTTCGGAAAACACTTTTCCTTAAGTTTCTTATAAAAATCCTCACACAGTATTCCTGGTAGGGATGACAACTGTTCAGGAAATACTGTAGGTTTAAGAGGCGTACCATTACTGTCTTCGAACCAAATGAAATAGGCATAACTGAATTTTGTGTCCTTCCATATCAATTGCATAACACCTGCTTTATGAAGATACTTCCTTCCAAAATCCATCATGAACCAAATCTGAAATAAGACAAGTAGGCACATCATACAAAGTGTCATTTTTTTGACACCCGATATAAAATCCTTCCGAATTATTTATTGGGGCGGTTTGGTGAATTGCCTTCAGGTTTGACATTTTTCATTCATTTGCCTCAACTGAGAATTCACTCTGCAAAAACTGAATTTACTGATGGTGATTTTCCTCGTAAGTTATCTTGTTCACATCAAAAATAATTCTTATATTCCCAATTAATAGGCACAAGTCTTTTCAGCCCACTCAAACTTGATGTAAATTAAAGTAAATAATTTTCTCACTCTAAAATTTCATTCCTGGCGATGAAATGACTACCATAATTATTTTTCATGAACCTTTTTCCAGGAGATTATTTTTCTGACAAATAACAGCAGTATTTTAAAACGTAACCAGCCACAATTAATTTTTCAGACTTAACAAGAGACTAAGATTCTTTCAAATTGTTGTGTCTTCTATTTGCTGGACACATTTTTATCTAGTTGTCATGAAAACGTTCTCCTGGAAAACGGTACAGTAGGTATTGTTAACTAAAATTCGATGAGAAAAAATGTTCGCAAAATATGGCGGGCTTTCAAAACCATAATAACAATTTCATACAGAGAATACATTATTTCAACAGTTTTGAAATGAGTTACTAACTTAATCTATCCGTAGGACTGTGATAGTGATTTAAAATGTAAAATTATTCTCATACAGTTCTATGATTTACATGCATCGTCAGTAAAAATACTCAACTACCAGGGGCATCATAATATGTTATATTGACAGGATTAAGGCGAAACTACCACCTTGAATAATTTAAATTCCTTTCTGATGAGTCACAAGATGGCAGATTTAGCAGACAACTTCATCTCTAACAATACCGGGTTTGATCTTTTTTTTTCAAACGACTACGAAGATATGGTCATTGAAGACCTATTTGAATAATGGAAACGGTCATTCTCAGAATGTATGGTCTAAGTATGCCAATATGTTTTTCCAACAATATGGATGTCCTGCACATAATATCCACCAATAATTGTCTCGATGAGCAACTGGCCAGTTCGGTTGCCGGATCTCACCCTACTAGATTTATATTTGTGACTTTTGTGAGGCTACTTGAAACAATAGGTTTATGAGTCGCCAATTGAGCCCTTTTCTACCTTGAACGAGACAGAGGGAAGTTCTCCCCTCTTCCATCTTTCTCTTCAATGCTACCAACTTGGTCGACATTTCTACGTTGTTCCAATTATTCAAAGTGTTAGTGAGTGTGACATCAACCGCAAGGCGAATGGCTCTTCTCTGGATGGAATCTATGAGCATCAGAGTATGTTTGAGTGCTGAACCCCATATGTGGGAACAGAGTATTCTATAACAGGTCGTATCTGAGCTTTGTAAATCATGGGGAGCTGTTGAGATGTAAAGTAGCTCTTCACACGGAGTTTTTGTGAAGTACCTAGCTCTTGCGATGGATCTGATATGATTATCCCATGAAAGAAAGAGTATTGCTGATGATGGAGACACCGATCATAGATGTAGATATAGAAAAGATATAGAAAGTGGTCAGACATGTTGATTTTATGACTTGACTTGAGGAGTATAAATTGACATGCATTAGAAATATTTATTTATACACCAAATTAGTAAAGAATATCATCATTTCCAAGGGCCCAAGATTGAATTTTTTTCACCACTAGCAATATACATCAATCATTTTAGTTCTTAGAAACCGAAATATAGAACTATTGTAACTATGAAAACCCTTATTTTCAATTCTTGGCCATTACCATGACAGCCACGATATGACAGCATAATAATTATGACACGTCGTTTTTGATAAATACCAACTAGATCGAGTCCCATTCCAGCGAATATCTGATCAGAACAGAGCATTCGAATTAATTACAACAGATATGGCTGTGTCTACATGAATTATTGGTTGAGATCATAAAGAATGATTGTTCTTGAATGCGCCATGCGTTATATGTGACCTAAATGAAATGCCGTCACAATATCAGTCATATGAATAAAAATTTAATAATTATTATTGTTACCTTCTTCTTATTGAATAGTTGTTCTTCGGTGCTGAATTCTAAAGAAGGAGTAGTTATCCTATGAGTATTCCTGTCGATGTATAAAAAATGTACTAAACCAGGAAACTCTTCTAGATACTTGTTGATGGTTAGGGAATGTCTAGTATTCTTGTATTAAGGATAATGAGTTAAATGGAGGCAACATGTTAAACATTTAGAGCTAGGGAATGAATGAGACCTTGTCATTCTGTCTTGACTCAATGAAGGAACTGTTAAGCCTGGGCAGATTAAAGGCTAGACTAGACGACCACTATCATTCCGAAAGTACTTACATCTCTCGTCTTTGTTCACGACCTGAAAACAATGCATCGGAGCCTGAATCATTAAACAAGGACCAACTTTTGAGTTTTTAGCGAAAGACGAACAGGCGATCCTAGAATCAACAAGCCAATGCATAGCTCACTGAGCTACGGAGTTCTCGAATGTTAATAATGTTATACAGTGGTTATACTGCAAGAATTTACTGAATGTTTTCTACTGAGTGGTCGATCTATCCTAGCGGTTAGTCTGCCGAACGGTAGTTAGCTAAACGCTTACAATATATTTAATGAAAAATCATCAAGTTGCTGGATGCTTTTGTATCTAGTCCTTGATTTCAGAAAGTGTACATAGACAATAATCTACTTGAGAATGTTCATTGAACATATATACTGCTATGAAACTGGAATTTTGATAGGCCAACTAAAATGGAAAAGGACAGGTACATAGGTAGGTAGATAAGTTCAATGTTGATTATTGTATATTTTTCCGAAATCAATGATCATTCTAGTCTATCAATTATCATTACCATTGTTTTGGAAAAAGAATGTAACAATCAAATTTCAAATCAGCCATAGTCAGTCATAATCGAGGTCATGATTATGTCCATGGGAACTCAGGATATCAAAACAACATCACATTTCATGCTAAAAGGATATGATCCAAGAGAGAAATTGTTGATACTTTTCACATTGAGAAACTCTTCATAAGTCTCTAGTTTCTCTATAACTCCACTGGAGACCTCTTTGATATAGTCAACACTAGAATTCAATACACTTTCGTCTACCGAAGTGAAACCAAGAATTTCCTTCAAATTTTCCAAGAAACCTAATCCCAATGTCTCTGCTCGTAGGAGAGATTCTTCTGAATCATTTTTCAAATAATCTTGATACTTCTTCTTGATAATCTCCCATTTCTTCACAATCTGCTTATGTGAATTTTCAATAGCACTGTTTTTATTCTTCTTCAAACTGTCATTCAATTTCCGATTAGCCAAATCCAGGTTCTCTAATGCTGGATGCATAATTTCTTTTTCTCTTTGAATTTGGACCTGCTGCATAGTGTGGAAATGACAGAATGTCTCATACAAACTGGCTGCGACTGTTAAATTTCCAATTTCAAATAAGTAAATCAAATTTATTGCATTTAGAACAGGGATGATGTGCACCACATGTGGTAAGCATTTGGGATCGCCTTCAGGACCAGATAAGAGTACTTGGTAACTGAAAACCTGAGGATCATCGCTTGTAGTTGTAGTATTTTGTAGTTCAATACTGTGGCACATTATCGTCAAGAAGATCATATCGCTGGCAGATAGTTCTCTAGCATTTTGACTAAAACTCAATTCAATGGAAATACCATGATAATGATTCAGGAAATATTGTACCTTGAATATAGAGATAAAAATTTATTATGCACCAGTATCAAGGCATGAATTTTCTTGCAGTCAATTTGTGAAGTAAGTTTTTCTACAGAATCTCTTAATATCTGAATTGTTGCAGAGGTTAGATCAGGATTCACTACAAGCTGTTCCACTGCTTCTACATGTATCGCTTGATCGTTTGATTCCATAGCTATCCAGCTATCAATGAGCTTATTGGCCAGTATCGCTTTTTCCTCGTGTTCTTTCAACCTGGATAATAAAGTTATTAATGAACATAATATTATATGCTGTACAGGAATAACAAGAAACGGATATTTTTCAATCTAACATCATGAAACCAATGGATACCGTTGATATAAGAAATGGGTACCAACTTCGTTATTTTCAATGGAACACGCTAGGTATATATTTTTCGAAAAAAACAAAACAAAATGAAGATCTTTCTATTCTGATCTCAAAAATATATAGGTTGTTTATATTCGGTTCAGCCATTTTCAAAATATTTGACATTGAACATTATTTAGTTGCAATTTGGTTTTACCAAATCGCCGTAAAGAAAAGAAAACACATAGGCAAAGAAAATATGACAGAAAGTTTGATTAATACAAATGACAACCTGCATTAGATGTTGATTCTGCATGGTAATTGCGATTTGGTAAGATAAAACTATAACTGATTCTGAAATGTTCGAGCTCAAGTAAAACACAAGGAAGAATATATAGGGTGTTTCATTGAATATAACGAAGTTGGTACCCATTTCTTATATCCGCGATATTCATGTTTCACCTGGTACAATTTACTGGAGATTCAGAACAAACCCTACAACTTTTGTATTCGAAGTTTTTTCTATATTCAATGATGAACCTTGTAGAAGCTGTTTAATACGAAAGCCCGGTCACAACATACAACACTCTCCACATTCCAATGCAGATATATGACGTCACTTGTGGGCCGTACCAAGAACTTACCTCAGACGTCACTGAAATAAATGTCAAATATTTTTTTCATCTCTTGGAGCGCACGAAACGAAAATCCTATAATGTTCGTGGAACATCGTGCGTACCTGGGCAGGATAGGGAGAGGAGGTAGGTGTTGATATTTTTTTTTTCTAACTTTTTGGAGGTTGAAGTTCTTGGGAATACTTCCACTGATTAATTTATAATTAGGTATAGTCAATCCAAAGTCAGTTGGAGCACCTCGAGAAAGAACATATAGTTACCCAACGCATTATGTATGATAATAGTATATTATGTAACAAGTTAGTGTTATAAACGTCCTTTTAGTAACGAGTATTTTAAGCACGAGCGGAGCAGAGGGAAGCGAGTGTTTAAGAGGGCGCATCAGTCAAAACTGCCATGCAGAGGTCAGTTTGGTACCAAATCATTAATAAACTATAAGTGTAAGCGCAAAAGTGGTTGGTACATATTAAAGACGAAGGTTGAGAATAGGATATGAAGGAATTTTCCAGCGAAATTCGATTTGTGTAAAAAAATATATGGTAATGAAAAACAATAACATTGACAACGTTTGTGTAACAGAATCGAATAAAAACCTGGCATACCCTAAGTTAGCAATTCAATAAATTTTTGATGAAATAATCAGCTTCTGGAACATTGTCGTTTGGGAATGTATTGTTCGTAAAATTAATTCTGACGTTTCTGCATCTATTTTCAATATCGCCATATTGTTAGCGAGGTTTCGACAGTGGCAGAGTAGTTCAGCTATTGTCTTTCAGAGGGCCACACAGTGAAACTACCGTGCTGCGCTCCTTCAAGAACTAATACAAACATTACAGTTCTCTTTCTATTCATTTCTTCTTTCTGGGTCTGGGGAACAGTGTTGCCAATAAGGCGCTTTTTAACTTCGTTTTGCGTCATTGCGATTTTTTGTAAGTAATTGCGCTTTTTTTTCTTTTTATAGTCTATCGAGTGTATTGCATAACTGACTCTGTTGATTGATAATATTAATCTAATATATAAAATTCTTCTGTCCCTGCCACGGTGTTTGACGCCAAATTCCTCCGAACGGCTTGGCCGATTCTTATGAAGATTTTTGTGCATATTCGGTAGGTCTGAGAATCAGTCGTAAACGATTTTTCAAATTGAAAATTCATGATGGCGGATATCCAATATGGCGGACGAGTTTTGTGATCCGATTCTATTCAAAATTGGCATCTGAATGTTTTCGGGATCGGATATTATGATTTCTTCGTCAAAATGAGGAGATTCAGAATGGCGGATACAATATATATGGCAGACGAGTTGTTCAAATATAATCCGATTCTGTTCAAAATTGGTATCTAGGGGGTTTTCGGAGTCGGAGATAACAATTATTTCTTCAAAATTTGGAAATCCAAGATGGCTGATCCAATATGGCGGACAAGTTTCGAAATTATAGACCAATTGTTTTCAAAATTGGTATCTGGGATTTTCGGGTCACAGATTCAGAATCTTTAGTGAAAATTGGGAAATTCAAGATGGCGGTTTCAATATGGCGGACGAGTTTTGTAATTATCGACCAATTCTATTCAAAATTGGTATTTGGCGGTATTCGGGGTCGGAGATTATGATCATTTGGTCAAAATTGGGAAATTCTCATATCCCATATCTCAATCGTAACGTAACCACCACTTTTCTTCCAATTTATAGAAAATAGTTTTGATTATCTTGAATTCCCACATTCAAAAAACTGGTGACAGGTAATATTCATAAAAAAATCAGTGTAGGCATAAACAAAATATTGTCTTTTGTGATAGGCCCATATGAAACTCAAAAGATTATTTTTTATGAAAGCAAGTAATCAATCCTTTCCTCCTTTTCTCATTTGCTAAGAATTAGAAATCTGGTGCTACTTAGTTTCAACCAGTGACCAGTGATGCCAGGTCTAAGGAAATGTCATGAACATGAACGATTGACCCCTACTGATATATACAAAAACATCAGTGTTATAATATAAAATAGCAGAACGCTGGCAGCACTGCAACTGGCGGAGCGGGCGGTGTCGCGGTATCAGGCAGTGTGTGTGATTCCCCGAACGATTCCAACTGGACTTCAAAGAAACATCGATAAGTGACCAGTGTTGCCAGTATGGGCAATTTCTCGACAATTGGGCTATCTCTGAACCTATTTTGGCGACCAAAAATTAAACTTGGCAACAGGCGACTTATTGAGACGACTTGATGGGCTTCTGGGAGTGAGATGAGTATCGCGAGTCCAAATTCAATGGCTTTGTGGCTTTACCATCCAAGTAGATTCGAGTCATCCGCACAGAGCGAGATCCATTCGACGTTAGCAGGTGTTTTGTTTATATTATGTTTCTACACTCTACAGGATCATTCATAAAGTTGGCATCATATGGAAAAAATTTTTGATAATAATATATCATAAACATCTCATCTATTTTCATCAGGTAAATGTGTCTGAAATGTTTCAAAAACGCACAGAGAAAACATGTCAACACAGGGGCGGCGAGTGCATGGGGGCATCGGGGCCAATGCACCCATGTAGGCAGTGGGTATGGGTGCAATGCACCCATATTGGCCGAAACAGACGTATAAAAAAACAAATTAGATACGGGCGAAATGAGCACTTGTAAATATTGCACATTGTTGCTGGACAAGTATAGGTAAACATCAACCATGCGAACCGTATATTCGATTCATGTGCATCCAGGGTTTGACACTGTGCACTGTGCAGATATTCCGATTTAAATTTTAGACATTATGACATCACAGGTTACAAGTGCCAGTTTGGAAAAAAATAGAAGTGGCTAATGAATCCATTGATAATACAGTCAGTAGGAATACCTTTGCAATGAATTAACTGGGGTTACTTGCTAATTTTTTCGAATCCCGAAGTTTCTCTATTCCATTTTTTGAGATATGAGAATTATTAAATCTTATTTTATTTTTGTAGAGATTGAATTTTCTAATATCGTTTTAAATTTTGAGTTATGTTCACTTTTTGCAATGGTGAAAAAAAAAAATTCTTCTATTTCTCATCCTTGTTCATATTAATATATCAACCATAAACTCGAAAACCGATTAGTCACAAAATATTATATTTTGGTAGAGGTGTTTCACACTCGATGCAAAATAAATAATGCTCTGATCTATCTTGAAATTTGATGGCATTATTGACCTTGAACCATGAAAAATTTTCGTCTGCGGCGCATAATTTCGTCTTACCCTAACCCCTCAATTTTGCCACCCATTGGACAAAACAAAACTCACCGCCCCTGTTCAACATAAACTTCAAAATCTCCGGGAAGTTCAAATGATTATAAGAACCAATAAAGGTACAATGATACGTATAACTTCTTCATTCTCTGGCCACAGAACTCTGAAATAAAAAGAGCAAATCCCTTTCAACGAAAACCTATATAGATCCGGATCCAATATGCAAATTAGATTCGCCATCTTCAATTTCCTAATTTTGTCAAAAGAAACATAAACTCCGATACCGAAAACCCCCAAATACCAATGTTGAATAGAATAGGATTATTTTTTTTTGAGCTTGGAGCGCACGATAGGGAATCCCTATAATGTTCAAAGAACATCGTGCGTTCCTAGAGAGGATAGAGATAGGAAGTAGGTATTGGAATTTTTTTATAATTACAAAACTCTACCATATTGGATCCGTCATCTTTATTTTTCTGATTTTGACAAAAGAATCATATTCTCCGATCCGATACCGAAAAACCCCAGATACCAATTTTGAAAATATTCGGATCACAAGTACAAAACTCGTCCGCCATATTGGATCCACCATATTTAATTTCCTTATTCTGACGAAAGTATCATTATTTTCAATCCCGAAAACCACCCGATACAGAGATTTTGAATAGAATCGGATCATAATTAGAAAACTCGTCCGCCTTATTGGATCCGCCATCTTGAGTTTCCAATTCAAAAAATAGTTTACGATCGATTATCAGACCTACCAAAAATGCACAAAAATTTTCATAAGAATCGGTCAAGCCGTTTCGGAGGAGTTTGGCCACAAACACTGTGACAGAGAATCAATATAATATATGTTAGATATAATGAGATATAAACTATCGTATGACTTTCATTCTATGGTGAGGTCATCACAGGATGGGAATACTAGGTGGTAAATATAATAATGTGAAATATAACATAACACTATTATGAATTTCTACTACTATTTGGCGACGTACTCTGATTAAATACTGGCAACACTGTAGGTGACTTTGTACCTGTTCCCTTAGTACAGCCACAAACATTATTCAGAGACATCTATTGATGAGGTTCCCTATTGATTGAATTGAATGTATCTAAAGGATTCTGTAGAAATAATTCATGAAACTATAATTATGGCGCCACTACACGGCTGTGATATATTTATAGTTTCACTGGTGTCTGTGGGCGAACTATTTCACTGTGATGCGCGCCCTTAATAAACGAGTGTCTAGAAGTGTTTATAAACGCGTGACATACAATGCTTTTTCTACGAACTCTGAAAATTACATTAACATACCTGCTATTCCTGCTAACCTACAAATTAATTCGAAAGGAATGGGAATTGAGGACATAATACATGCAACTGCATGCAACCAGCGAGACACAAATAAGTGATATTGGTTGTAGATGTGTCTAGTCCATTGCTTACTAACCTTTGTTCCACTTTTAATGGAAAATTCTGATACAAACGATAATTGTTTGAATAATTCTGATACAAAATTCGAAAATGACTGTTGACAGTTCCTATAATTGACTGGCCAGACATGTCTCAAATTACTGAAGCTGTGTTTAATGAATTGTGTTGCCATGGTAATGTGATGTGTTTGGGAAATCGTGTTGCCATGGTAACGTGTTTAATATTTTGAATAAATCACAGATCGTCAATCCGTGATTAATCGATCATTTAGCGTGGTACACATCCGTACGCTAAATGCCATATTAGTTATGTGAGTACAAAATAGTATATTATGTAACAAGTGTTATAAACGTCCTTTTAGTAACGAGTAGTTTAAGCACGAGCGGAGCAGAGCGGAGCGAGTGTTTAATAAACGAGTGTCTAGAAGAGTTTATAAACGCGTTACATACTATGATTTTTCTACGAACTCCAAAAATTACATTAATTAACATACCTGCTATTCCTGCTAACCTACAAAATAATTCGAAAGGAATGGGAATTGAAAACATAATACATACAACTGCATGCAACCAGCGAGACACGTATAAGTGATATTGGTTGTAGATCTGTCCAGTCCATTGCTTACTAACCTTTGTTTCACGTTTATTGTCATGCTTAGCGCTGAATAAATAAATTGTTCTCAAAGATGGATGCTTCATTCTTGGAGGTATGTAAGTACCTGAACATTCTCTTCGATTTCACTCTCGTCTACTTTTCGCATATATTTTTAATGAAGAATTCCGATACAAACGAAATTGTTTGAATAATTCTGATACAAAATATGAAAATAACAGTTGACAGTTAATACAATTGACAGGCCAGACATGTCTCGAATTACTGAAGCTGTGTTTAATGAACTTGCCATGGTGATGTGTTTAAGAAATCGTGTTGCCATGGTAACGTGTTTAATATTTTGAATAAATCACAGATCGACAATCCGTGATTAATCGATCATTTAGCGTGGTACATATCCGTACGATAAATGCCATTTTAGTTATGTGAGTAGAAAAATGACATTTTAGGTATACGTGAGTAGAAAAAAATTAATTCTTTGTACAACTGATAAACGCTCCAACTGACTTTGGATATACTATACTTGAGTAATCTGTGGTATTGTTAACACTTGATATGACTAGGAAATATCAATAGGATCGACAACAAAGGTTGTTGCCAGATATTTGGCGAGGTTATGAGTTGGTGATCCAAATAAGGCACTGAGGCACTGACGATAGAGCGGATATAGGGTTTATGTATTTTGGGTAGTCCATAAATACGAGGGGTGCGTGATGATTTTTCTCTAGGGATTGTAATTTTCTTCGATTCCGCCGATAGATTGGAATTATTGATGAGAGTTTTGGTCTTCTTCTGGAGGTAAGTTGTCGGGTCTCTTGGAGTGGTTTTGTATTCGGCGGAACCTAAGAATGTTCTCATCTTCTCGACATAGTCTGAGGTATTCAATACTACCGTGGCGTTGCCTTTATCAGCTGGAAGGATGATTATGTCTGGGTTATGATGGAGGTTTTTGAGACATCTTCTCTCAGCAGGTGTAATATTGGATGGTGGAAGTTTCGCTCTTCTAAGTGTGTTAGCGACATCTTGTCTTGTTTCTTCAGCCACGTTCTCTGGCAGATGGGTTATTGCACTTTCTTTTTGAGTGATGATAGTTTTCGTTGGGACTATAGTTGGCGTGATGGAACAATTGAATCCTCTGAACAGCAGTTCATGAGTGGATCGATCAAGTGGTGTATTGGAGAATTTGTGTATTAACACAAGGGAACTGGATGTGACTGGGGATGGTGCGGTGGTCTCTAATAATGAACGCAGTTTATTAACTTGCGTTTCTGTCTTTTGGGTACTGACATAATCAGCTTTTTCTTGGACAATCCTGGATAGGGTATCCCAGATGACTGACTGGATGGATTTTTGTATACGCATGGGTTGATTTTTGTATTGGCTATATATAAGTTACGCCTGATGTGGATCGTTTTTCGAATCAATCTTGACTGGAGTGTCGAAGAATACGCTGAGTGGCTGGAGACTCATCATAATATTTCAATCGAAAAGCTTTGGGAATGACCTTATGATCTCTGCATGATTTGAGGAACGTAAGGTCGCAAAGAAGTTTGGATCTTCGGATGAGAATTGAAGAATATTTCTTCGTGAGTTTGAGAATATCCTCCTCGTCTCGCGTATAATGTGTTCGGATAGGTTTCCGCGGTCAGATATTTGAAAACTATGAGTTCGGGTTGAACCGCGTCTAGAATCTGTAGATGTTCGACGTTTCGGCACCGATTTTAGAGCCATTTTCAAGAACTGAAAAATTGAAATGAATAGAAATAAAAATATGACCCTCAGTTCTCTCGAAGGAGGAAAAAGGGGTCTAAATCTAAATTTTATTTCGATCTCTAAATTTTTTTATTAGTGTCATTCGATAGTACAAGTCGAGCTTCCTCAGTGTTTGAAATATTTGCACTTATTTCAATGCCACCCAAGGCGCAACACGACTCTTCTAATGTGGAACCCGTCGACCGATTTTCAAAAACAGAAATTCCATAATATAGTACTCAACGAGCTCTATTCGAAAATGTGAACAAATCTGAAATATTCAGATTTTCAAGGCCTACTTTTGTTTGTTGAAGGGGTCAAAATTTCAAAAACGACTATTAAGCAATTTCCTTTTGTAACATTGATTTTCGATTTAAGCGTAGCTTAAATCCCCCGTTAAAAATTTGAACGCAATTTCTCATATAGGGTGTTAGTTATTCAATGGCAAATTTAATAATAAGTATAAAATAAGTGTAATAAGATCTAAGGAGTTGATATAACCGGTTAGATGGTCATTCAATGAAGAAACACATTGAATACTTATAGATACGAAGTTTCATGTTCGTAAGTTCTACCGGAAGATGTCCCTAAGTCAACAAAAATCAATGAAACTAAAGTTGAGGTACACCCTTTTGAAAACTCGAAAATACTATTTTTCAGACACTTCACCACACATAAACTTCGAAAATCGTCTCTATTCATAAAGGGCTGTCGAATATAATACAAAAAGAATGACAGACAAGCACTTTCCAAAGACTGCAAGGAGATATACTGATGCTTGATGTGACCATAATAATTTACCGATTTTGACGAAATGTAATGAAAATTTGTAAATTTGAAATGACAATGAAAATTGTTATGTATAGAGAATATTCCCTTGGATTAGTTACCATTATTTATTTATATTTCCAGGAAAGAAGATATGGATCATAATAAGACAATTTCTCAACTTCAAGTTCATCAATTTTTCGTTGACCCACAGAGCTCTTCCTGTAGAGGTTACAACGATGAAACTTCGTGTCTAAGTATTCGGTATGTTCCATTGGTCAACTCCTTAGATATTGATCTCATATTTACTATGGATGTTGTATTTCAGCTATGTTTGAATCGAATAGGCTAGTCACTGTTTCAAAAAAAATGCCTAATAGATATTATTTGAAATTTCTACCCATTCAATGAACAAAAGTAGGCCTCGAGTATCTGATTATTTTAGATTTGTCCACATTTTCGAATAGAGTTCATTGAGTACTATATCATGGAAAATTTGTTTCTGAAAATCAGTCGACGGGTTCCAAATTAGGAGGGTGTTGCGCATTGAAATCGCACACACTGTATATAAAAAAAATACGCCATCTAATAAAAATCACCACCTTCTTTCTTCCACGACCAGAAATTAAGTCCTGACTCCTGAGTACACCACTGTTCCATTCATAGAAGTGACGTATTTGGTTTATACAGCCTACAAGTGACGTCACAATGGACAGTGCTGCATGTCCTGACCGGGCTTCCGTAGTTTGAATATACCGAACGACCCTATACTATTCAAAGGTAGAAATACATACCTGTAAATGTCTGGTCCACATAAATAACGTACGATTGTTACAGATATGTTGGTAAATTTTCTCATATACTCTTCACTGTTTTTACCAATAAATACGAACAGATAACCCATGTACTAAAACATAATACTAATACATATGAGCAGTACAGGGTGTGAGATTAAAGATTAAACCTTCAGCAACGGAACTCAACCTCAACTGCTTTTGTGGTATGTTCAGAATTTGAATGCAATACCATAATGTATAACTTCACATTTACTTATAACAGGACGACAGGTCAAGCTTTTTTCCAATTCCACAATGTGAACAAGTTACCCTCAGAGTTAGCTATCATTACTTTATATACAGGGAGTGAATATGTGGGACAAACTTCATGGGGTGATTCCTTGTCATATTTTGGGAAATAAAGGTGATACCGGGTGACCAGTTATATTCTGACCCATTTCAGATGTTCATATCTCTGAAACCATTCAAATTATCGTTGTGCGGTTTGGACTATAGTCTATTCTACCGGAAACAAACAAGCCATTATTCAGGTATAGGGCAAGTTTTTTATTTCATTGCATCACTCTGTATATTTTCGCACATTCAGGAAGACTGGTCTTTTCCGGGAAATATGTACCTCCTGGGCTAGGCCGGAAAAATGCTACTTTCTCAAACAAAAAGCGCCGGCAAAGTGAGCACTTCTCAGACGGTTGTTGGAAAAATATTTTTTTTTAAATTTTTTTATCCATTAATAGATCTCCTTTTGGTGTTATGTATTAGATTCAAAATAATGCTCCTAGTGGCGTTCCAGTTGGTTGATTTGGATAATTATGAAAATCATTGTACTCCACCAGTTGTTCTGAGTTCCATATTTTTATTAGATCAAAAAATTGGAATAACAACTTTCTTATCCCCTGTTATTACTTATTTTTCCAGGAAACAATAAAAACTCGATTTGACTCCAAATTTTAATTGAGGTGCTCTCATGACACTTATTGAAATTGCTCTAGATTGCTCAATAACCTCAATAACTGAATTTTGGCACCTTGAAAGCTTATTCGGGAGGGGGGGAGGGCGAAGGGGAGGGTTATAAATAAGATCAATTTATACTTCCAACTCCAACATCCTGTATCTCAAAAATGAAGAAAGTTAGGACACATATTTATATGAACTTTATTATGTACCTATCTAAAATGAAGGAATTGCCCCCTGAAGTTGTTGCACTTATTCACTATACAACCTGTTCATTTTCATAAAAAGAGAAAAATTAATTATTGATGGTGGATGGGGTGTTCTTACTTCATAAAACTTGAAATGATAATATTTCAGTTTTCTATTTTTTTCAAGAAAACAGTTTGAAAACAAGGAAGTTGAGGATGGAATACATTTACAAAGGAGCTAATTGCCTTGTTTAAGGTGGAGTACCAACTTACCTCTTCAAAGTACATCATTAAATCATCTTCACATTTTATAAATCTGTAGGAGTTACCGAATTGACAATTCATAATCCTGTGAGAGGTTACTATAGGTGAGAACGTTTGTATTACTACATTATTATAAACCTGACTAGAAACAGAGTCCTAAAATGTAGAAACATATCCTTTCAATTATTCAGAACAATGATCAGTCTTCAATATAGGAGGGCGTTTAATTAGATCTATGATTATAATAATAATAATTGAATGAAACTCATTCAATATATTACTATAATCAATAGCTTACCTTGGAAAGTAATCCTTGTTCAACTGCGAGAACATTAATATGATTTGCAAATTCTTCATTGTACTTTTTGTGAACTACATCATTCAAATGATCAAATATCAGTAAACAATTCATGATGAATTATCGATTTTCCGTTATGCTGTATAAAATGTATTCTCCGTTGATTCTGAATTTTCTCACATATCTATTTAGTAGGACGCGAGAACCGTTTGAATTTCAGGAAACACATTTCATAATAAATAAATAAATAAATAATAAATATCACTTTGTTTTGGCACTTTTGACAGTGATGATAATCTTAACCTCAATGTCGCCTTCTCATCATCATCCATTTCCACTTTTCAGTGAAGGCACTGAAGGCGCCTGACTCTAAACTCTTTAGCTTGCGGTATTACTAACCCGCAACGCCCGCAACCTGATGAGCGTTAAGGTCGATTTCCACCAAACAGACACGTCGGGTCGCTGTAGCGTTTCCGAAACTACGACAAAACCAACAAAATAACAAAAATACAGAAACAGATCAGCAGGAATGTTGTTGCAACTAAACGAACTTTAACAGAGTTCCAGTTTCTTTTAAGTTTTCATTCATTTTCACTGTTCTGTGACAATTAACAGGATTATTGTGCAGTGAAGATGATTTTTTATGAATTCTATTTTGTTGTTTCGGGTGTAGTTGTGTTTAATGAGGAATCTAACTCCTTGTCTGTATCCATTTTTTCAATTCGCCGGTTTTTATAGTTTTTAGCTTTCCATAATGTAGTATGCTGGCCTCTTCTGTTGTAAACATGTTCATGTTTTCAGAGTCATATTCTACAAGTAACTGGTAGGTATATATTCAAATGCATATGAATAAAATGGATCCATAGAAAAGCTTACCATGAACTCACAATGTGCACAGCACAAACTCCAAATCTCTGTCCAAACTACCTATTTCCACCCAGCCGACAGTGTCCGTGGTCGTAAAAACCCTTTCAAGTCACCGCCTTCGACCGCGTGACTCCGAAAACACAGGCGACTCCTGTCTTCAAAATGTTTCAGTCGTAAAGTTATGGTTTTGTTGCGGACATCCGCGGAAATCCGCCTTTAGATTTGTTTGGCTTGTTGCATACTGAGCAGGAGCAGGCGCCTCCGCCTATTATCATGATTTGGCCTATTATATGTATAAGTAATATTATTCTCTCAACTGTGATTATATACATTGATTATAATTTCAATGGAATCTTATCGTTCACTCATGGATTGAAGACTCCCCTTTCACTCCATTGGAAATCGGAGGTGAAAAGCCATTACCACCTATTACATGGCTAGAATGGGGTGGTAGGTTGTACACACTAGTTGAATTTGCATGAATTCTATCTGACCCACAGATCTTACATGAAATTAAATGCAGCATCTATTTATATTCTTGATAAAGGACGCAAAGATCGAGAGAGTGCGCAACAAATAATCCGTTCGGAAACAAGTTTACAAAAAATGCTCACGGCCGATCGTGAAAAAAAAATCATCATTGAATCAGGGGCGTCATTTCAGTGAATACCCGCAGGGTAGGGTCAAGAAAGTTAAGACGACAAAATTTGTGTAATGTGAAAAATGAGCCGCAGGCGAAAAGTTTGTTGGGATTTTTGGTAAAACTGCATTTAGCATGCGATGGGTTTTTTTTTCGAAATTTTTTTTTGGTATACTTACGTATTTTTGTCTGAAAAACACGAATTTGATAATGAAAATGTGAACAAACCATTATTTATCAAGATATTTCACTATAAAGTTACAAATTTCACCTGCTTTTCCGCCTGTCTTCTGGATTGCATTTAAAACAATTTAAACTTTTTTTTTCATTATTGGACAATTTATATATATCACAATGTGAGACACATTTTTTTCTATTATTGAGTCAACTAGAAATATGATTCACTTGTGATTTATCCATTTTTAGTGAAAAGAAGGAAGAATATCATTTGAAATAATGGCGTGTGAAATGTCATTCAAAACTTTCAAAAGCACTCTGTTGACATATTTGACATCTCGTATTTGGAATTTGGATTGACTATTAATTAAATGGCCGTCATCTGGTATGCTTGTTCACTAAATATGAAAAACTCGCCATAAAAATCATATTTCCTGTTGAATTTTCTGTATAAAAATGTGTCATTGAAGTACATCATATGAGTATATAAAGTGTCCAATGACAAAATAAGAAGAGCAAGTACCTGTAAATGCACCCAACACAAGGGGAAAAAGGAGTCGAAATTTCGGACTTATTTTTGAATAATCTCGAAAAATAGTGGTTTGTTCACATTATCATTGTCAAATTCGTGTTTTTCAGATAAAAATACGTGAGACCAAAAAAAATTTTCGGAAAAAAACCCATCGCATGATAAATGCAGTTTTACCGGATTTTTCGTCAAATTCCTTAGAATTGAAAACAAAATTATTTTTTGGGCTGACAACTCCATCACATTATTGAGTATATTATGAATATTTATTTATGTTTTAAGTTTGTTGCAATTCGATATAAAATGATCTGAATAGAAACAACAAGAAGAGCAGGAAAAAAGAATTTTGGATAGGTACTCTGTCTGTAGGTTAAACGAGCCAGGTGGATATTCCCGAAATGTTTTGGGAGCATGGGATAGGTACTGATCATTTCTTTCAATTTCGCAAAATATTCTCAGATTCACTTCAATTTGTGTGGAATATCATTTCATTGAAGATCTCAAAATAAATAATGAAGTTATTTTTCAATACTGTCCTACTCAAGAGAAGTTAGCAGATATATTAACTAAACCAGTGACTTTTGGAAAAATTCAATACTTGCGTGAGAAAATTGGACTAAGAAGAATGAATATTCCAGTCGAGAAGGGGTGTTGAATATGCGTCTGAATATACATTGTACCTATTTATTTTATCATACTGTACCTATATTGATAGGATGTTGTTCATTTTATCATGACAATTTTTGACGTCATAAACACGACCTTCAACATAATGTAGGTAATTCACAGCTCACATGAAAAAATCAATGATTGGATATGCAATATTCATTTGTCAGTAGATGAATATCGAGCGAATGATTTTGTACCAAAAATGGTCTTATTTTGAGAATGTAGTACCAAACGTGCTTTTCTTGACAAAATGTACCAATTTTACCTACAATTTCTGTGACAACCCTGACGACGCAACCCTAGAAAAATATGTATGACGAATCACGGAACACAATGTCCCACGATTTGCCAGTGATCGCTCGACATTTTCTCCAGCAAAGGTTTATCACGAGTTGGAGGGACAATATCTCCTGCATCGTGTCTAACAATGGAATCCCAAAAAATAGGAATCACTGATCGACGGTCTGATCCCCTGCACATATTATGTGAATAAGCGACTATTTGGAAATCTAATTTTGTTCGAATTTCAGAAATCGCCCTTGAAGATCCGAATAGTGACTTGACCAGAGTAATAATGCATAACATTAATCTTACACTCAGCCAATTAATAGTCCAAGAGCCGGCTGCAAATTTCGACCCTCATCTGATAACGAAATGATAGGTACCTACATGTTCCAAAGGCATGTGAAAACATTGTAGTTTATCGAACGGCACCTGTGCCATTCACTACCCTGAGCAAAATGATGAAATTGCACTTTCCTGTGCGTGCGGAAATTTGCACTGGATTTCGCGATTTGATAAACGAGATAAGAATTATGCCATCCGATACCAATTTAATGGTAGATTTCAAAAATCCACCTGTGCCACTCTTCAGTCTGAGTCAAATCCACGGCACAGCGATTCATTTGCTGCTATTATTCCGGACATACTTTCCGCATGTGATAACGAGATATCCTGTAATGTTCAGAGAACATCGTGAGAACCAAGGGAAATAAGGTAGGAATTGGTGTTCTTCTTAAAATTCTGGATGTTATATGACTCGAGAAACACCTCCCTTGGCAATGTGTTCCAGAGCCTCGCTGTTCGTTGGATGAACGAGTCTTTGGAAAGAGATTAGTCGGGGCTAAATTCCAAGAAAAGCCCTCCGTTACAATCCTAGAAGCATTTCATGTAACAATTGGATAAATGCTGTTGACCCCCTATTTTGACCCCGCTGAATCCGAAAATACCGTTTATCAAGTCGAAATTCCAACCGGAAGTGAGATATTCAAGATGGCTTCCAGAATACCCCTAAAATAAAATTATTTTCTACTTTCGGTCAGCTATACGATTGAGGTGTCGATGTCTATGTTTTCGGGGGTGTAGAATACGATGAGACACTCAAAAAATGATTTGGAGCTTTGAAAGTTCATCGAATGATCAAATTTTGACGAAATGGGCCAAAATTCCAAAGAACTTGTGAAAACGTGTTATACAGTGTCTTTCAAAAGTATCGGAACGATCTCATAGTTCAGGAACGGCTTGAGAAAAATTCACGAAATTTTCTACAGGGTGATCATTGATGATGTCCGATTCGATGGTGGCATCGGCAATGTTGCCAAGTTCACAGTTTTTCAGATATTAGGAGTAACTTTATTTTTTCAAATGGAATACCCCATTTATTTTTATTGCAATTAATTGAGCGCCTCCTAATTACTTGAGTCCCTGAATATCAGATTCGTAATTAACGTGATTTTCGAAATATGACAACATAGCATTTTCGTTAAAAAGTTCTGGAACGGTCCCATATTTCAGAAACGGCTCAGAGAAAATTTATGGAAACTTCGACAGGATGGTTGTTGATGAAGCCCGATTCAATGGTGATATCGGCAATGTTGCCAAATCAACAGTTTTTCAGATATTTAGGGTATTCCATTTGAAAAATTTTGATTACCCTCAATATCTGAAAAACTATTGATTTGGCAACATTGCCGATATCACCATTGAATCGGGCATCATCAGAAACCATCTTGTATACAATTTCATGAATTTTCCTTGAACCGTATTGAAAATATTAAAAGGTTCCCAGACCTTTGAACAAAAACCACTTCAATTTAAAATCTGATATTTGGAGACATAAGTAATGAGGCGTCGCTGAATGTATTGCAATGAAAACAAATAGGGTATTCCATTTGAAAAAATTGAGTTACCCTGAATATCTGAAAAATTGTTGATTTGGCAACATTGCCGATA